AGGACGACCCCTTTAACTTTTGGAGGGGATTTGATTTATTTTTCGGCATTTTTGTGAATTGTTAAGAAATAATTCATAGAACAGGGATGTTCAGTGGAGTGACATCTATGAATGTGTGAAATCGTGTGGTGCGGCTGAATTTAGGGGACTGTTGGGCCTTGGCAGAAGTATGCAACTGACTGTCATTCTTGTATGTTCCAAATATGAGTTACTTTGAAATGGGTGGATCATTTTCCAAATTGACACTGAAAAACACTTTATCTTCCTCTTTTGGGGTTTTGTGTCAAATGCGTGACGGTTTAAGTAAAATTCCCGGATTACACTCGTGAGAGTTATTTTCTCAGTCTTTAGAGAGCTCCCTCCAGTGCTGTCACAAGACTTGATGCAGCCTGTTTTATAGTTTGAGTAGTACTGACAAGTTAATACTTAAATTGGTGGAATACCCCTTTACCCTTAAACCTATACTTGCACTTGACAGATATGTTTGCATGGGTCCAGTAACATCATCAGGATGTTAGGTTAATTTCTAAAACAAGCTAAGACTTGCTACATAACACATCTTGCGGTATGATGACACTGACAAAAACGTGTCCTGGCACAGTGACCCAGTGTCTTAGCTGGGTCGTGTGTTTACAGAGCACAGTAGGTGGAGGAGGCCGGTGTCCGCTGGACCAGGCAGATAAGCGTTACTGCTGTACACCCTTATGTATAATCAAGATGAGCTCATGTATGGTCTTGGGGGTGAAAAGGATTATTCATTTTTGCATTTCTCAGTCTGGAATATTGCACCAAAAGGGTTTTATATAGAAAAATGGACCTACAAGAAAAAGGCATTGTTGAAATGATTGCAAAAGTTATTGAAGAAGGTAAGACAGTTGTAATTCTGAATGTATGAATATTTGATTTCACTGAAATTTGAACAAAGTCACTTCACTTCACGACCATCCAAATCCTTTTTTTGTGCTACAATATTTAGTTTAGATCCATTCTATTCTCTATTCTCTAACAATTATGTGAAACTGAATTTTAAAAATGATAATTCACCACTGCTTCATTCTCCTCATTTTCAATTTCTATGTATGCTCAGCTTCTGACACAGATAATAACCATAATGTGTTAATGTCGGAAAGACATTACCCGTCCATCCAAGAGTTTGCCTCTGCGATCCCCAACCACCTTCTCCTGGGCTCTCTGCTGGAGCACCTGTGCTTCGTCTATGAGAGAAATCCAACACGCTCACATATGCTGTTTAAAGGTAATCATTGAGAAAATACACTGGAACTGCCAGTTAAAAAAACAGTTTTAGTCCCTATATCAGACTGTTGTAAGTGTTTTGAGATGAGTGTTCGTTGTACATAGAAGTCAACAGCGTGGTTTTGGAAGTAAAAATCCCATTCATTTTCAGAGTAGAGATTTAGATTTTTAACCATAATATTGTAACCATCTAGTGCAGACTTGCCACAAGCTACTAGACTGTGACATTAAGTTTTATGTTCCTGAAGAAGCCTCAAATCTGTATGATATCAACTGTGTTTTCAGAAAAATATGTTTTATTTGTGATGTAAAGGAGTAGTACAACACTACACTACAATTCTCAGGTGTAGTAGCCATTGTTGGAGCTCGCTGTTACCATTGAAACGTTTACCACAACTGCACACAAACACACATACAAGACACAAACTGATATTTTGCAACATTGTATGAACAAAGTTAAATTCAGGAAGAAGCATTGAAAGTCATTGGAAAGTGATAATTCGCAATTGTTAATGGGAAGCGTAGTTCCTTCAACCTATAAATAATCATATACACAGTCATGTTCCTTTATCTACTTTTCCATTTTCCCAAAAATTTTTGGCACCACATGAAATGTTTTATTTTCATGATTAATCTCGTTGCTGTTCCAGGTTTTAAACACGTTTTATTTTCTGAAACGTCAGTGGAGGATGTGAATGGTCAAATTTTGGCCCGGAACCAGAGTGGGCTCTAAAAATGGGCCATTACTGTTGCGCTCCATTGCAAATTAAATTACAAATAATTTTGTCATCCCTCTGACAGTCATTGGCCAGCATTTAGCAGCCATGAAACTCCTCTCACCTCTGGCTATCAGTGATGAGTTCAGCACCATCAGACTGCAGCACAACCGGGCCTTCACTGAGCTGCTCAACGCTGCCACCTCCTCCATGTACCCGCAGGTAACAGGACATGTTGTAAACTAGATTTTTTTTTAGTTTTTAGAGCACTGATCAAAGTTTTTTTTCACACGCACAACGTGAACATAGTGTTTCCTCATCTTATTTTACAGGGTCGTGGCACAAACACTTATAATCTTCCTGTAAGGTAAGGTGCACTTGGTGTCGTTTGAACGTTGAGTTGCTCCCAAGAAATATTTAATTGTAATGATGATGTTTGTTTTTAGTTAAGTGTTATGTGAGAGATTTCTTTGCCTTCCCGCAGACTTAAGGAGGGACTTTTTCAAGCACAGACGTCACGGTATCTCAGTGAGTTTGAAGAAATCTTTAGACTTGGGAAAGGATCATATGGAAACGTTTTTAAGGTATTTACTTTGTTCTAATCTCCCCTCTAAGAGACATGAGTTCAGTTGATCCTCACAATCATGTTATCTGGATGATCTTGCAGGTTATGAACAAACTTGATGGACAATATTATGCTGTGAAGAAAATTCTCATCAAAAAAGTCTCAAAAGATGACTGTATGAAGGTGGGTGGTCAGTATTTCATCATCATCATCATCATCATCATCATCATCATCATCAGCAGCAGCAGCAGCAGAGATATAACTGACCCATTATAACAAATTTAAATGTTTTTTTTCTTTTTGACTGTAGGTCCTCAGGGAGGTCAAAGTTTTGTCCAGCTTGCAGCATGTAAATGTTGTGGGCTATCACACTGCATGGATGGAACATGTTCAGCCTGCACCATGTGAGTCTTTAAGTGCTGCCCTGCAATGTAGGTTTGGCTTGATGAGACTTTATGTGTATGTTATTTTATTTTAGATATATTATATATAATGTTTTTCTCCTTAACCATTTAGTGACCCCCCCAAAATGATCTTGTGACTGCACCAGAAATTATCTCACAACCCCCAGGTTGAGAATCACCAGACAAACTTTATGTGTGAACTGTCTTTGTTAAAGGTCCTGAGTCTCTCCTGCCTGAACTGGAATCACCTGAACAAGAGGACAAGTAAGATCAGTGTAAACACTATCACCAAATATCTCCTATAGCTTTCTAAGCTTGCTGATTACTTTTTAATTGTGTCTCAATAACTTTAAACTCTTTTTTTTGCAGTTCTGATGACAGCTTGTCTATAGTTTTTCAAAGCCTCAGTCAAGCATCAACAGATGCAGCTGCATGTGACAAAGTCTCTCTAAGTGAGACCCCGTCTGTCAAAGCTGTAGTTCCAGCTCAAGAGAAGGGCCAGGTGGTGCGTCCCAAGACGATGCGCCGCATCCCGGAGAACTACGTCCCCTGTGTATTTCTGGGGCAAAAAGGTCCCATAAACAGCTCCAAATGTCCTGCCATGGGTTGGGACAGCTCAGAACTGTTAGAGGAGGAGTCTGGCAGGATCGAGCTGAACGACAAGCCCTGCATCGACGAAGAGTGGGCTGACGGATGTACAACTTCTACAGAGGTAGGAGCTTGAGCTGCCTCTCAGGCATTAGACCAATTACAAGAGAGATACATATATTTTTACAACCCATATCACACACAGCCACAAATTTAAGGAGATTGTCCGGAGTTCAGTGCATGTCTGAAAGCAGCTTTTTAAAGGTACAGTGTGTAGAATGTTGCAGCTGAACACCCCTCACTCACTCTCCCCTTCCAAACATGATAAGAACCTGTGGTAGACTTCAGTTGTCATAAAAACTCAAAAGGTATTTAGTTTGTCCAGTCTGGACTAATGTAAAAAACATGGCGGCCTCCGTAGAGAGGACCCTCTCGATGTAAATATAAAGTATTTCAATATAAAGGGGGTAAAGAAAACTACAATTCATACAATTTAGATGAAAAGAACTAGTGAAAACATCATAAGGATTTTCCTACATTAAATATCTGCCAATAGATCCCTTTCACCTAAATCTTACACACTGGACCTTTAAAATACGGAAAGTGAGGAAGTGAAATATACACCTAAAAAGATAAATTCCTCTTTATCTGCAGGTGCAGTTCCACCTGATGCTCTACATCCAGATGCAGCTGTGTGAACGCTCATTGAGGGACTGGATCTCTGAGAGAAATGAAAAGCCCAAAGAAGAACAAACCTCAAAATGTAAGTCTTTACCACATTATGCATTACACAGTAGTATATTGTTTCAATACAGATTTAATTTATTTAAAAGCACACGATTTAATATTATTTGGCAAATAGCAGTAATACACAGTTTTAAAAAGGGGGAACCTGCCCCTATTGGAGCAAATCTAGATAGTTGAATGAAATGAAATAGATCACCTCTGATTCAATGGCTCTCCTGTTTATATTCCCAAAGAACACACCTGAAAAACATACTCACAGTATATTAACAACTGGCTCCATTAATGACAGAAAGGAACAAAAAAATGTAGATTTCACATCACTACATGATCCACATAAGCGATGAAAATAAGAAATCAACTATTTTTTTTAATACTTTCAGTAAATACGTGGGCGTATTAAAATGGTCCAATAGAAACAAAAAGCATCTGATTTGACGTCTGTTGTCGCCTATAAAGTCAGTGGGTTGCATTATAGTTAGAGGTAGAGTGTCCATCTTCCTCGTTTCTTCCTTTGAGACTTCAGTCATGAGTCCTGCTGGAGTAGTGACCTCAGTCATTCTGCGAAGGTCTCACTTGTTTAATGTCCTTTTGACCCATGGCTTCTATTACAGGTCCGTATGGATGTGTGGATACTGAACAAACTCTCAGCCTGTTGAGGAACATACTTGAAGGGGTGGAGTATATTCACTCCAGAGGAATCATGCACAGAGACCTGAAGGTAAGATGCTTTCGTGGATTTTATTGACAGGCATCTGTTCATATATGTGGTGTATCTTTGCAGTTTAATGCAACATTACAGTCACCTGCAAGTTGTGGTGACAGACTGGTGTCAAGTTTGAGTGATATCAATCTGTTATTTAACGAGTCCGTCATCAGTCTCAAAGGAGATGTCGTGTACGTTCTCCCAGTAGTTGAAGTCACATAGCCTCTCGGGCAGCATTTTTTTCAGTTCCCCTTTCTTGCCTTGTACATGTTTCACATAAATATAACTCTTACAAATATCCTGAAGCCTTCTTGGATGCTGAATGAGTTTCAGTAGCTGTTCTCGCTGCTTGGAGAAACACGGTAATGTCAAGGTTGAGGGCAGGTCACCGTTATGGTTGTATACGGTGAGCGGGGATGTCAGGTTGATGAGTTTCCCCAGCAGGGAGCTGTTCTTTACATTGGTCTTGTTGTTCAGGAACAGAAACAAGCAGTTCTCCCCTGCTCGGCTCAGCTTGTTGATGTCTGCTCCGTACCTGAGCAGCAGGTCCACCAGCTCCTCGTTGCCCATGCAGCACGCCTCCTGTAAAGGTGTAAGTCCGGCCTTGTTCTCTGGGTCGGGCTTGGCCCCGTGCTCCAGCAGCTCGGAAATGCAGTTGATGTCGTTGTCCAGGGTTTTAGCGCTCTTCATGGCCTTAGCCACAGCAGCTAGGTGTAGAGCTGTGTTTCCTGTGTGCTTCACCCCCTTGAAAACAGTCAAGAATTTACATTCATTTTAATTAAGTATGTAGAATATTTTAGCATGTGTTCAAGCAAAAGTTGTGTGGATACATCACTACTTTTTCATTCTTCAACATTGATAGGCTGTAACAAAATTTAAAAAACAGTGATAGTGTTTGTCTTTTGTGTTTTATTGTGAAAATATAAGCAAATGCTGACTGCTGACTGACTGCCAAAAACAAACAAAGGAACGACACACACCATGTTGATATCTGCTCCCTGTCTGATCAAGTTGACAATAATGTTCTTATGGAGGATCCCTGCGGCCATATGCAAGGGCGTCATCCCGCTGCTGTTCACGGCATTGACATCAGCACCGTATTTGGTGAGAGTTTGGACTGCAGACAGAGCAGCGTAGCGCACTGACAGGTGGAGAGCTGTCTCATGACTCTCACCCTCTACCTAGGGAGGAAGCACAACAATACCATCTCTTAGACATAATGTTTCATGAGGAAGTGCAACTGCAATCCTGACAGTGTTTAAGAAGGTTTTTCACAATACTCGTTTAAATATATTTCATTTAACAGCACTGAAAATCACTTTTTGAATAATTTAATTTAACTCTGTCAATGTTGGGCGAGGAATTTCGCTGACAGGAGATTAAAGCTAGGATTGGTAATGCTGGGAAAGCCAGAAAGAGCAGGCTACACTTTGAAAAGGGGTGTATGTCTCCTCGGCTGAAGACTCAGGTCATGTGCAGTAAGAGGAGGGCAGGGTGTGTGCAGGCAGGCTGGTCAGTTAGGGTACATCGACCAATCATTTCATTCTGACTTTTTTTTAGACAACTTTATTGATAAATGGCTATCAGCACGTGAAGAAGATTTCCACAAATAAGAGTGAATCTGTTTAAGAAACCTATAACCATCCCTACTTTTAAATTTGTGCAAAAGAGAGGTTAGTTCCTGTAGTCACCTCTGCATTGACGTCCACACCTTGCTCACAGAGGAGCTGTAGACAGGCCTCTGCCCTCCTGTGTGAGCCAATCACAGCATTCTGGAGGTTGGAATCTGGTTTTGGCCAAGGAGTCGAGGTACGGGGCCAACTGGTTATCACCAAGTGTAATGTGGTTCGACCGAACTGGTCCCTTTGACCAGGGCAGAGAGAGTGAAAGTGATGCAGAGGAGAACTGGTCGATTTCTCCTTTAGTATATAGAAACAACCAGTGATGTGCATATTGTTGTACTTGGTGTTATTTCATCAACTCTAGCTGAGTAACTTTATTTTCAAACTAAACGAGAGGCTTACACAGTGAATAAAACACCTGATCCAACACTTTGATATTGATGGGCGTTTCTGTGTGTTTGTGTGTGTTTGTCCACACCTCATGCCTGGGTCTGCTCCTAATGAAATCAGGTTCTGCATGCTCTTTACTCTTCTGTAAGAGGCAGCCAGATGAAGAGGAAGGCCCTGAGGCAAGACAAGTCAAGACAAAGTGGAAAATTTGAAAACAAGAATATGTTGTAGTGTAACGCCAGAAGAGCAACTCCCTTTGCACTGTTTCCTTTTACTGTCAGGATCTGATCCCATTGCAGCATAAACATTTGAGGGTAATTATTAGGCCCCTTATTATAACCCTTATACTCGTTTGTATATTATTTTGTGTTATTAAAATTATAATATTTAAGTTGCTGCGTTTTGGTCTATGTGAGAATCTTTTCTGTGAAGTGAAGTTTAAACGTATTTCAAAACTATATCTAAGTATAATTTAAAAAGAAAGTCTGAGTTGTTGTATTTACCTTCCAGAAAATGTTCCCAGGTTCACCAACTTGTACCTGGATGGGAAGGTTGCTCCCGTGCTTTTTTGACACATCCTCAATACGTGCCACATCTTCATCCATAATAGCGGTATAGAATTCATTGTTGTGAAACTTAATCATGTTACTGCTCCTTTCTTCATGTTTGCTCTGCTCCTCCAGCATGACAAGAGATCACAGCTTCCCTGCTGTCTGTGCCTCGTCTTTCAGAAGGGGAGTGGTTAAGAGAATCAGGTTATTCTAGTTTGTGGTTGCAGACGTTAATTTCTAAGGGAGGTCGATTAAATTTGAAGTTGCTACTACTTCCCCTTTCTGTGTATAATTTTTTTCACCAGCTACTTCCGTTTTCTCAGTTCGTTGTTTTTCACATCCGATTTCATCAACTCTGGTCTGAGTTAAGTGTCTTACTTAGATCGACAGCCTTCCTGTCACAGCTGATAAGTTCTTTCTGCGCACGGGGGCCAATTACAGGGCCTAGTGACACCCTTTGGAGTATTTAACTGTTTTTTCTTGTGACACTTCAGTAGTCTTATTTTAGGAAAGCAGGGGAATTATTACTATGTAAACGCTCACAGTACATTCGAATCAATCATTTTGCAGTGCAGAATGTAAAGTCTTATCTAATTAAAATGTTGTAGTTCATGTGGTGTACAGCAGTTTTGTTTTTACAGAATCACTTTTCATTTTTTGCTGGATACACTGAGTAGCTACATAACAGTGCTGTACTATCTATCTTCCCATCAAAGCCATTTAGGGAAAAATGTTGAAGTTTTAAGTAATAATAAGTAATATTGTATTCATATTGTTAATGTCTGCCCAACATTGAATCTTAACATCTTTATTTATAATTTTCTCTCTTCTCTTCCCACAGCCGAGGAACATTTTCCTCCATGCTCAGGACTGCCATGTTCGGATTGGGGACTTTGGTTTGGCCTGTGGCAGAATAATAGCAGATGGAAACAAAAGCACTATGTCTCCTCTCAGCGGTAACAATGTTCCTATTGCGTTGTTACATTTTCACACAGTACCTCATAGAACCAGTAGATGGTGATGTATGCTTATAAGTGATGTGGTGTAATTTGCAGGTTTTTCGCACACTGGTGGTGTTGGTACAGTTGTGTATGCTGCACCAGAACAATTGAATGGCTCCCATTATGATTCAAAGGTAAACAGTAATAGTATAACGGCTTAACTATGAGTATCTCAGACTTTATTTTTCATGTGACACAGGTTTTATCTTTGTGTTGTACTCAAATCATTTTGAACTTTATCATTTAGTCGTTAACCTTCGTCATTTTCTTCATTACTTAAATTAAATTCTTAACAGTCTAAACTTAATTCGTATCATTGTCGGTCTTCTAGTCTGACATGTACAGCATCGGAGTGCTGGCTCTCGAGCTATTCCAGCCTTTTGGAACAGAGATGGAGAGGGTCCGGACCCTTGGGGACCTGAAAGAGGGGAAAATCCCAGACTCCTTCTGCCAGAGATGGCCAGTCCTGACGAAATACATCATGAAGCTAACGAGTAAAGAGCCAAGTGTTCGTCCCACGGCCAGCCAGCTCCTATGCAGTGAACTCTTCTGCACCAAGGACATGGTACAGAGCCTTTTAGCTTTAAAAATTAACTACCCCTGAATTTTTGTGCAGTAAAAAAAATTCTGAATGAATAATTTTGGCATTACTAATATACAATCTTCAAAGATGTAATAGATTTATGGAAACAAGTAGAAATAACATTTAATTGTTACTAAACTTCAATGATTTACTGTATATGTTCGTCTGTTGGAGTGGCAAAGTGATCATGCAGTTTGTTTTATTGTTGGTTCCAGGAAGACTTGATCACACTTGCATCATCTGCACTGATAGTTCCTGACTATATCACAAATAATCCTTTCTCCTTCAGGTGATCCATGGTTTGCAGAGGAGGGTTGAAGAGCAGGAGGAAGAGATCATGCATCTGAGGAGACAGATCAGTGAGCTTCAGATCTCTCAAGTCACAGCCAGTTTCTCAGAGTCGGACATCACCTGAGCATAAACAAGCAATATCCAGACTGACGAAAACTTGATTCATGTAACCACTGTGCTATATTTTCACGACTAGGTGCAAGTCGTGGAGTGTGTGTTGATGTGTGTGCTTGTGTGTGTTTGTGTGTCTTGTACACCTGGATGCAAGTATGCAACTATTTATCTTCATTCAGCTGTTCAATAAAAAACTCTTTATTCTACATCTGGTGGGATCTCCAAGAAGCATCATATGATTATTTTATTCAAGTGGAACAGTCGCCTGTAGGCAGAATTAATGATACGTATTTTAATTTTGCACAGCTTTTAAATCCTGAAGAAGAAATATGTGGACACATTGAGCCATTCCAGTTTTCATCTAACTTGTATATTAGCACATGTATTTCCATGCATGTTTTTGTTTTATTGATGGTGTTTTAGAGGTTACTGGCACAGGGGATGCACTTTTACTTCAAAACTTACAAGAGGAAATGTTATGGGCACCCAGTAGCACCAAATTGGGCTGTCTGGTTTTTGCCAGGAAATGATCTGAGGCCACCAGCTACAATATAACGCACATATTGTGGCAATGACACTGAAAAAGAGCTGCTGAAAATATCTGACAAAACAATAACATTTTTCTGTTTTTGTTCAGAAGAGTAGACTTAACATTGTCTACTGTAAAAATGTTTCTATAATATTTAATTTCAGAATATTCAGTGATCATCTACTGATCAAAAATGTAGAACACGATAACGGTAGGTGTGATCTAAAAAGATTTTAATGGCGCTAAGATATTTCTTTTATTCCCCTAAAGACAAGTGTAGTGCCTGTTGTTGTGGGAAATGTCTTAAAACTGGTATACAATGTGGTGGGTTGTTCAAATCGTATTGTATATATTGATGATTAACACAGTTGTGTTCATCGGGTTGTGTCTGTACACTCTCCCGTGGCTTTATATCCAGCGTGTGATCGTGGGCTGTACATCATGTACGAGGGTCGGAGGTGTGTACATGCGACGGATCTTCCCGAAATACGTCTCTCGCCGAGAAATCACCGAAGCAGCCAATCACATGGCTCGTTTCATTCCGCGTACCCGGATGTACCCGTGGGGCAATAAGCTACGTCATTGTTCACCGCCGGACACCCGCTGGAAATGAGGAATGGATTTACAGGCGCTATTAACGTGTTCGTAACAGAGTCCAGGTGAGTGTGTTGTTGTGTTCACGACTCGGGGGCAGTGCCACCGTGCAGCCGGAACATTTCGTCGGGTCTGGGCCGCAGATATTAGCTGTAGTAGCCGTACACCGGTCCTCTGTCATGTCGGAGAGAGCAGCGCAGTGAGCGCACACAGCCGCCGGTACCGAGCCCCTCCTTTCTCAGCTAAACTACACGTCCTGTTACCAGGGCCTCCGCCGTCCGAACCGTAAAGACTTCGAATGGGAAAGCGGAACACCGCGCTCGAACGCGTACAGAAAATGGCTGTGTCGCTCTCCGCCATGTCAGAGAGCGCCCATCATGTAGCAGCAGCAGCTAGCGGCGTTAGCATCAATAGTACCGCACGAGTGCCGCCACCGCACGTAACGTTAGCTACTGCGATACGTGTCGCCGTTTCCATGGCGTCGGCGGCTTCTCCGGCGGCTCGCTCGCCCTCAGTCGTTCCGTTCCGGTCTTCGACGAGAGTTACTGGCCTGTGGTTAGAGCTGCGTCCCCCACAGCGGGTTAAACGGAGCTTTAGCGCGTGTTTTATTGAAGTTTCGCGGTGCTGCGTGCTACAGGCCTAGCAGCCGTCTATTAGCCAGCGTGAGCCAGGCTGCAGGTGTCGTGCCAAAAAGTGATCGTCTGCCAGAAACTGATCGCCGTCCTCGGGAGCGCGCGCGCAGTGTATTAAAGTTGTATAGCCCCCTTTGTAGGCGTCCACTGCTCCTTTGATCTGAATCTAACACGTGCAAATCTATTGATGCTTTGATCTGAATCTGTGCAAATCTATTGATCCTCTGATCTGAATCTGTGCAAATCTATTGATCCGTTGATCATATGATCGGAATCTAATATATGCAAGTACTCGCACATAGTCTAATATATGCAAGTACACACACATAATTTAGTTTCTGCGGCAGTAACGAAGGCAAGTGATTGTGAAACCTGCGACTTTAAGACACAAGCAATTGTGTTATCCTGTTAAAGGTATCCTGTTTGTTGGCGTCACTGACGGACAGTGCCGCTAACGTTTGTCAAGCCCCTACATTAACGTAAGTTGTTTTATTATTGGCCATAGCCGCAACCGCTAGCTTAATGATAGTGTAACAAATGGCTACTGTGGTTATCGTCTAATTGCTAATAGTTAAACGGCTAATGTTAAAGGTTCAGTGTGTAAAATGTATTGACATCTAGTGGTGAGTTGCATGTTGCAGCTGCTAGTGAGGGAAGGGGCTGTGTGAAGTTTTCTGTCAACTGGTGGAGGCGAAGACGAACTGTTGCAAAATAGTATCTAGTCCAAAACTAATTTTAAATATTGATTAGTATCCTTTTCAATTTCCCTACGGAGATTAATAACGTATTTCTGATTCTAATATCTAGAGTATCGATTTCTTTGACAACTGTAGTTAAGAAATAGCTGGTTTTCCCTTAAATACATCCCATCAAGAACAAGATATTTAAGTTGTACACTTCTGTTCTTCTCCTCACAGCTATGAACAATGACCATAGTTGACAGATCTCCAGAAAACTCTGGCCACGAGTCAGTCGGGTGTAAGAGATCTCCCTTCTCCAGTGGAAAAGCTGGGACGTACGGCAGCTGTTCCAGCAGCCGGGCGGTGGGTCCCACCATGCCCAGTGATTCTCCTCGGCTGAAGGCTCCAGGAGGCTGCCTGGGCCCGACACCTGGAGCTGCCGTCTACAACAGTACTCTCTCATCTGTGGACCGGCCCAAGGAGCAAGGTAGGAACAAATCAACAGTTAGGCTTTTGGCTATTGTTATTTATTACAATGACAGCAATGACTATAAGTTGTCAGAATATAGTTAAAAAGTACCACATATATAAATATTTGTCCTTGATCTGGTAAATACATTGAATCTGATATAAGTGATGATGTCCCCTCTGTGTGTCCAGTGATCAGCAATGGTGATGGCATTGAGTTGCCACAGAAGGTCCTCTTCCCTCCAGAGCGCCTCAACCTGAAATGGACCCAGGTTCACCGGATCGGTGCTGGCCTCCAGAACATGGGGAACACATGCTTCCTCAACTCAGCGCTGCAGTGTCTCACCTACACTCCTCCGTTTGCTAACTACATGCTGACACGCGAGCACTCTAAAACATGTGAGCTAGTGTTCATTGTTTCATGGTGGGTCTTTGCACCCATGTTTTGTGTATTTGTACAGTGATAAAATATATATAAGTTAACCCCTTTCTAATCAGCTGTTTTCTAATCTGAATAATGTCTTACTTATCAGAGTTTTTGTGACTCTCTCCCTGCACCAGGTCACGAGCCAGGGTTCTGTATGATGTGTACCATGCAAAACCACATCATTCAGGTCTTTGCAAACTCTGGGAATGTCATCAAGCCCATTGGTGTGCTCAATGAGCTCAAAAGTAAGTATTTGTAAAGCTAGAATGCTGAAGTTGTGCCCTTATACAAAACATTTACCTAAAATGAATGACAGGAGGCGCTGTGCTGCTGTTTACCTTTTCATTTTGGAGGGAAACTATCTAGTGGGTTTAGTTTATTTAGATATTTAGTTATCTTCTGTTAAAGTCACTGTTGGTCTTTACCCAGCTTACATATCCTCCTCTATTGTATTCTTTTCCCCTCACAGGGATAGCAAAGCACTTCCGCTATGGAAGCCAAGAGGATGCCCATGAATTCCTGCGGTACACAGTGGATGCTATGCAAAAGTCCTGCTTACCTGGAACCAAGTAAGTTTGAGACGAAGCTGTTGGATATATGAAAGGCATGTGACGCAATCAGGTGTACTTTTAAAGGTTGAACAAATATTCATATTTTTCTATCTGATTTAAGAGCATTTTTAATAGATACACTGATGGCTGCTTCTCAGTAAAGTCTGAAATAATAATTTTAACAATGGCAAGTATCAAGTCAATTTACATTCTGTACTAGCAGCTGAAACTTGTTACTGTTCATTACTGGAATTGACTTTTCTCTGTTTCAGTATATACAGAAAACATTGATTTGTTTTGTAGATAAATAAATCGGACAGAGCATTATGTCTCTAACATAATATAATATCTAATATTTATCTCTGACAGATTGGACAGGCAAACACAGGCAACCTCTTTCATCCATCAAGTATTTGGCGGGTACCTAAGGTCCAGAGGTAAGACATTAGTGTTCTTTTTTTTTTTTTCTTAAATAATTTCTTCTCCTTGATATTATGTTTTATCTCATAACTTCTCTGACTAATTTCACTGTCTTGTCTTTTTATTTCACAGTTAAATGTTTAAACTGCAAAGCAGTCTCAGATACATTTGATCCCTTTCTAGATATCACTCTAGAAATTAAGGTAATTCCTCAAAATTCTCAAGTCAAGTCTGATTTACTGCAAATGTGTGACAAATTAAATTCAGATTTGGTCTATTATAATAGTTCCAGACTCACAAAATAGATTTTTCTCCCCACGCAGACGGCTACCAGCGTCTCAAAAGCTCTGGAGCAGTTTGTTAAGCCGGAGCAGCTGGATGGAGAAAACGCCTACAAATGCACCAAGTAAGTTGTCAGATGATAAAAAAAAAAAAAAAGATGTCTTTATTTATTTATGTCAGTTTGTCGACTCACTTCTCAACATTTGTCCCCTGAAGGTGCAAAAAAATGGTCACAGCCTCAAAGAGATTTACTATCCACCGCAATGCCAACGTGCTCACCCTCTCACTCAAACGCTTTGCAAACTTCAGTGGAGGCAAACTTACAAAGGTACCCAATCACTGTAAAGTAGTGCCAGTATTAAGTGAAAATTAGATTTGTGGTTTGATGTTAATTGGTTGCTCTGTGGCCAATAGGATGTGAAATATCCAGAGTACCTGGACATGCGGCAGTTCATGTCTCAGCCCCAAGGAGAATCTCATGTCTACGGCCTTTACGCTGTGCTGGTCCACTCTGGATTCAGCTGTCACGCTGGACACTACTTCTGCTATATTAAGGTACTGGCAATGCTACAGATCACTGTTCTACTTTATCAGGACACTGCTGTTGCCAAGTGTGCATGTACATGTTTATCTCCTCAACAAATCAATGTAGTAGAGATGAATGCAGAGTTCCCACAAAGCCTTGACCGAACTGAAAAAAGACAAAACTGGAAACATTTATGAATAATATTCTATTGTAATATGTCTGCAAACACATTTGTAGATGGTGATATTTGTACTCAGATTTCTCAACTTTTCAAATCATATTCGGAGACTGAGTAAACATTTGGATAACAAAGATGAATCTGTTGTTAAATCTGCTGACAGGCGAGCAATGGTCAGTGGTATCAGATGAACGACTCCTCTGTGTCTGTCAGCGACATCAAGACTGTTCTCAACCAGCAGGCCTATGTCCTTTTCTACATAAAGTGAGTAAACCACAATAGTCTTTTGGTCATAAATGAACTTAAAGAAGAAGATGGTCTGAAACAGATTAACCTTGGTCACAAAGATGTATCTCATTGCTAATGTGCCTTCCATACGGTATCATCAGGTCCAGTGATGTGAAAAAAGCAGGGGACTACAGTCACATGAACCACAACCGTGGTATCCCTGGTCAGTCGTCACCACGCCCGGTGGTGACACCAAACATCAACACCACCGTCCATCACAACAACATTGGCTTTATAGGTCCCCAGCTGCCACCACAAATGACCAAGGTACTGCACACATGCCTATGTTGAACTACGTGTGATTACATTTATTTTATGGTCATGTTAAAGTTTTAGTTAGTGTTTGACCTTGATAACAAATATTTCCCTGTGTCCCTCATGTTTCCTTCTCAGAGCACTCACTATGTCAATGGGAATGGATCTCTGAGGGACTATCCCACAAGCTCCAAGCCCAGCGCCAGCAGTAGTGTTGCGGAAAAACCTAACCATGGACTGGCCTCTTCCTCCTCCTCCATCTCCCACTCAATCGGCCGGCCCACAATGATCCCAGTCCACAACAAACGTCAGAAGCTTTCATTTTGCATTGGACAAAGCAAGCAGAACCGCCCATCCTCCTCCTCTTCCTCCTCCTCCTCCTCCTCCTCCTCCTCCTCCTCCTCCTCCACCACCTCCTCCTCCTCCTCCCCCTCTTGCAGCCAGCCTTCCTCTGCCAGCAGCTCCTCCTCCAGCTCTCTATCCTCCTCACAGTCTACCTCAGACATCCATTCAACTGTTCGATTCGTTCCACGTCAGCTTCCCCCCGTTAACGGCAGGTCTTGCAGTAATGGCGATCACCACACGGGAGGTAACGGAGCATCGTTCCTGGTGCCGTATGGCCAAGAGTCTTCAGAGGAATCAGACCAGGAGAACTGTAGCGCTCTGGATAATGGCGGCTTAGCTAAGTCTCACCTCAACGGAAACAATGGAACAGGAGGCGTCTTTGAGAAATATCCTCAAGCCACAAACAGACAGTCAGGAGTGCACCACAATGGTAACGGATTATCATATGGCATCTCTAAATCTGGCCAAAACGGACACCATTATGGACAACACAAAGTTAATGGACACAACACTTCTGACAAGGTAAAATGCTTTGTGTTATTTCTACTGCTTTATGATACGTTGAATATTTGTGTTGAACAGTTGTTTTGAATAAAAAATGATCTATTGTTTTTATGCCCTTCAGATATCTGGCATTAATCATGGATCTTTGTCCTCTGTGGCTACCATTGCTGCTAATGGTGTAGATGGTGACCATAGTCAAACAAGGTAAGGTAACATTCCCACCGTGAGCAAGACAAAGCATTGAGCATTGTTTGTCTCTTTATCACTACGAACCAAACCACACACCAATTCTGTACAAATTTAACAGTTTGTCACTCTTAAGTCTTTGTGAACATGTGACATGTGCCTCCTGCAGCTTAAACTGGATCTGAATAACTCTGAAAGACTCATTCTGTTTAGGCACTTGGCAAAAATGCTTAAACCACATAAGTCTATTAATTATGCTTTTGTATATTTTATTTGGTGAATTATTAAGTTCTAATTGTAACTATCCTAAGGTTTGGTATGAAGCATTTTTAATCTGCTTGTCTTTTTTTTTCCAGCAAAGAGGCGTTTAATTCAGCCTCGTCATCACAGACCTGTTCGTCTCGGAGCATCCATCCTGCTGCCAGTGAAAGCCAACACCTCTCCCCTCCTCACAAAAGGGCTAAAATTGTGTCTGACCCCCTGCCCCAGCATACAGCTCCCTCTGCGGTTAGCATTCCACCATCAGCTACTGCTACAAATACCCATTCTGTTGCATCTGGAGGATCTGCTTCCTCCTCATCACATCATGGCAACCCTGCGGCCTTATCCACCCCGCCAGACTGCTCCCAGAGCACCAGTGGAGCATCTGCTGCTCCACAGAAGGTTTGTGTAAGTGGGGATGAAGCCAAGAACCTACCACAGAAAAACGGGCCGTCAGCAGGGGTGGAAGGACGAACAGATGCCAAGGAGCAGCTACAGTCTAAGCCCAGTTCTGGGGGCAGCGACGGACAATATGACAGAAACAGAGACAGGCTGCACTCTGACTGGAGCAGAGACAGAGAGAGACACTACAGGGACCGGAGTCAGGAGCGTGAGAGTGACGGTGATCGGTATCGGCACAGAAGGGACTACCGAGATCACCGCCACCATCATCGCGTGCACAGTGATCATTTGCCTCATCACGATCGACACTACAGGGACTCAGAGCGTCGCTATGAGCGGACTGTCCACCACCCAAGGGAGCGCAATCGCGACAGGTCCTCTCACCATTACCACCGCCATCGATCCAGAGAGGACTGGGATTTTGAGCGGAGGGGCCATGGTCACTCTCACCGCGAGGAGTCTCGTGGTCGCTGGAGGTGGCAGCAGGAGAGTCGAGAATCCCGGGTAACGAAGGACAAGAGCAACGGCAGAGAGAGGAACTCTTACCCTTCAAAAGAGGAGACTTCCTTTCCTGCCACAGTGTCAGAAACATCGGCAAAGTACAAGGGCTTGCCGCCTCTGCCTCCTCTCTCCAAGTCGAGATCAGCTCCGAACACAGACGATCAAAATCACAGGAGAGTTGCTGATAATCTGAATAAGGAGAGAGAGGACAGCCCTGAAGCCCGTCACTCTAAAAAACATAAAAAGAGCAAGAAGAAAAAGAAGTCGAAGGACAAAGACAGACACAGAGAGAGCGGGTAAGCGATAATATTGATAATCGATCAATTTTTACGTGCGGAAAAAATGCTAACCATTATTTTTTCAGCTGCAAGTTTGCTGCTTTTCTTTAGCATATAACAGTCAACAGTCATGTTTCACATGGTTAATCAATAATGAAAGTAATTGAGCCCTACAGTATTTGTCTTTTACTGATGACAAGCCTTATTTCTCAGTTAATTGTGGATTAAGACTAATCATGTGTTTTCCATCTGACCCTAGAAGCTCTGACGTTGATTCCGACAGAGTTGCGGAAATAAAAATGAAGAAGAAGAAAAACAGGCGGCAGAGGGATGGCGAGGCCAAGCAGCACAGCCCAGGCGCCACACAGAGCCACAAGAACAGAAGCAGCGAGGAAAGGGAAAGCTGCAAGCGGAGTTACTATGACACGGAGGACGCTACACACAACTATGGTTTTTCACCAGAAAAGCGCAGGCGCACAGATTACGCTGATCCTAGAAATGACCACCTACCCCTCTCCCAACACATTTCAGCCACCAACAGTTCAACTCACCGCCATCTCAATGGACACACAGGTATTACAGGTGTTTTCACATTCAAACCAAACTAAAGCTGAATTAAATGCTGTTGTGGAGCATTTAAAAGCATTCATTCTGTTTTGTAGGAAACGGTTACAGTCGAACCAATGGCAACTCCCACTGATTCTCCAGTGGCCTCAAACAGTGACTCTGTAAGTGGACGTCCTTTTTACCCATCATCACTGTATGCTCTAGTTGCTGTCACTGCTAATAAACTGTATCCCTTCTCAATACCGATTCCAATGCCTGGACTTAAAAAACGTGGTATCGGATCGGTTCATAGATTCATGTACTTTCCAATGCCTGGCTCTAACAGTAGGCACACATTCTGCCAACACATTTTACAAGGTCTCTTCTTTTTCATTTCAGGCACATCGACACCATTTTAACAGCAGAGGAATGACATCAACGACCTTTTGACATGGTGCTTCTCCTTCGTTGAGGAAAAATTGTATTTTTACCAAAAGTTACATCTTTTAAAATGTTCCGAATATCTTTTTTTAAGGAGTTAATTATTTGCTGTAATTCTCTTTAACTATGGGTAAAAAATCATCCGGTCGAACATTTATGATGAAAAATATTAATATATACTCGTATGAACACAAACAAAGCCTGGAGCTTAAAACATCTCAACTGCTGCTCAGTGGAACTCAGGACTCGAAAACATCCCGTTACGGATTATCCACCCGCTTCACAGACGAATGAAACAAAAGGGAAGTTGCCTAGGAGACAAACTGTAAAGACATATTGAATTAAAGTTTAAGATTTCACCATATCTACAGAGCTTCTGAGTTTTTACATCCATCCCACTGGGAGCGGATGAACTGCAGGAGGGAGATTTTCGTGAACGGGGCAGGCGAGCGCAGTGGTGGGAACAAGCTTAGCTGACTGATACCTCCACTTTAACCCTGGACAGACTTGAGGACATTTCCCTGCTTACTTTTTTTCCTTTTTAATTTTTCTTTGTTTCCATTTTTCTTCTGAAGCCTAAGATTCACTCTGTAATTTTTAAACTTTTTTCACAAGACGAGGAGTTTTGTCTCCTCGACATCACCACTTTCACACATTATTTTAAATGTTCAAAAAGAAAAGCATCCAGAATTTATCATAGCTGTGGACCATTTGTGTTTGCTTTTTAATGAAAAACAGTTTGTGTCTTCTAGCGTCATAAAATAATACTGTGAATTTAATTTTCAACTGTACTATCAGTTATTTTATATGTACAAAAAAGATCCTGTATCAGGATTAGCAGTAGATGTTTTGTTGTTTTGCTTTTGTTTTTAGAAAAACACTTTGTTAATTTTGACCATATTTGGTGTATGGATTGATTTCTGTTTTGTTTTGTTTTGTTTTTCAACTTTAGACATTGGAAAAACTGCTGTTATACCTTTTTAGTTTTAGCATGTCAGAATTTATACATTGTATGAGGTAAAAGCCTTAAAATACATTTGTTTATGTCGGCAATTGTAATTTGTTCTCGGTCTTTGACGTTTACATGCTGCTTTGAAATGAAATGAAAGAGAAACCCTTAGTGAGAAGAGTTGCCAGGGGTTTTTAGAAAGCTCTTATATCACACAGAATAGACTGATTGTATCAGCCTCTTGTCAGGCAAACAGTTAAATTGAGATACATCAGTGAGGACTGAAAGTGATGGTGTTCTTTATTCAGGTGTTGTCAAACAGCTGTTCAGGTGTAAAATACCAAAGAGTCTAGCTCTTCTTACTGAAATCACACAAACTGTTCACTGATCAGCATGTTTTTTTTTAATTCAAAGTCTTCACAGGAGCAGTTTACCCAAGATCAAACCTGAAACCTGCACTTAAATAAGAAAAGCTGTGGCTGTGGGTCAGTTTGATGATTCCAGTCAGCATTAACATGAAGTTCACCGTCTGCAGGTTTTTTTTATTTTTATTTACCATGTCCTGTAAGTATGTTTGTTTTTCTCCTATCTCAATTTAAGAGTGTGATCTTTGACAGCAGGACTTGTTGATCTCATGTTCAGATTTCGTAATGCTCTCGCTCAAAACCATGCGCTCACAATCAAGTAGCCCCCTGCTTGTGCTTGGATGTTATTGTGCAACGAGTCTGTCAAAATTCCCTAACCAATAGAATGCCAGGTGTAGGGACTCTGAAGGAAATGGTCCCCTCCTTGTTGTGGGTGTGTTAGCTTTATGTCTTTGAGAGTTGCTATAACCAGGTTCATCCACTCCCTTCCTCCACCTTCATTAAGAAGGAGGCCAGCAGATCTCTGATCAACATGGAGCGACAAAATCAAGCATGTCAAGTTCTTGTTATGTGATCTAAACACTGTTGCAACTATAAAAACAAAATAGATGCCGCCCTATTTATTTTCCCCACTCTGTTATCCAAGAGCAGAAGTAGAAATCTGGGAGACACCGTTTCTCGTGCGCACAGGAGCAACCGCTAAAGCTGGATGGCAGGGAATGTTTGAATGTGAGCACAGGGTTTTGAATGAGATCATAACAAAATCTGAGAAATCAATAAGCCGTGCTCCTAAACTGAAAGACCACACTCTTGAATAAAGAAAAAAAAACATTAGATCTCTCATGAATCATCACATTATCTGATCTTGAGTAAAAACACAGTGTGAGGAGGCTTCACTGCTCCACACAAAGCCCCACTTCCACTACTGTAAACTGTTGAACTAAAAGGTGAATGGGTACAGGCTATGGCTGTTATGACTGACATGCTACATAAATACAACAAAAAAAAACCAGTTTGTACATTATATATAATACATGCATAATGTAATGAGTCTGGGGCTGCCTCTTTTGTTAAAACAATAAGCAAATAAATACAAAAGAAATGGAACACAGAGATGCATCTTGAATACGAAACGCTACAGAACTAATATATATGATGCCAAAGTGGACTCTTGAAAGGGTGATTCCTCTAAATATGTGTGGTACTATTTCCCCTAAATTGTTTGCATCTTTTTCCTCAAAGAGGGAATAAGGTGACACACGGTAAATTACAGAAGAATATGAGCCTAGCTTTCATTTTCTTGTTTAAATCAGTGTTTGCATATACAGATACACAACAATCAGACCAGCTGATTTAAAAACTTGAGGCTTTCCATAGTAAATAGAAAACATTGGCGTTGGCAACCGTTGATGCATGTGAAAATTAAAGGTTCAAATGTCTGGAGGAGGTGATCGACCTCACCAGTCGGTCTGGAGGAGAGAGACCTGCAGAGAGATTCAGGTTTTAAATCCTCCCTGTGGATTTGTTGTAGATGTAATTCCACACATGTCCAGCAGAGGGCAGCAATGCCACAGACACATTACGCAAAAATGTCCCATGATTCCAGTCGTGGCTGCTCCTCCTGTAAACTGTGGTCCTCAATGAACATCCAGCTTAGTGAAGATCCCGCAGGTCCTGATTCTCAGTCTACACCTTCGCCTCAGCTCAGAGATGACGTGCAGACCATCCTCCGGCTCCCAAACAAGCTCGAAACTCCCACCTGTGTCTCCTGGGGCCGTGCTGCTCACAGGAACGGCAGTGATGAAGACGAGGAGGATGTGGAGGGTGGGCGCACATCATTTCTTATTCGCTATCCTCCTCTTCCTGGTGGCCAGCATGTCGTAGAAAGGATCCCTGCTGATGCTCGCTCTGTGGGAAGATGACAGGAAGGAGCACGTCACTCATTGTTTTCAACCAAAACGCTTAAATCTATTGAGGAGCTTAAAGAAAACACTAAACACTATCAGTTTGTAATGTTAAGAGCTTGCTGGGACTAATTTTGGATAAGATTCAGTAAATTCTCGGTGTCTAACTCTGACCTTAATCCGTCTTGTCTCCATCACTCAATGCACTTAACAAAACATCACTTCCTGCGCCTGCACTGTATTCTGTCAGGTTTTCTCAAGAAAGAAAAACCCATCTGCTCTGTGATCAACATCAAAGCCTGATGTTTACAGTGATTTCACCCCCGAAACCTGTTCCTCTCTCACTCCACTCGCTGTGCTATAAATATCTTGTTATTTATGTTTTTATCCAGACAAAAAGAGAAAAGAACGATGCAGCAAACAACAGAACGCAGCAACACATCGAAGGTTTTATCGATTATTTAAAACTGAGAGCTCGATGAGTGTGATGGGTCACTATTGATTCATTGGATTGGGTTTCTAATATGTTACTAGCCTCAGGGGGTTTGTCAGAACACCAAAACAATGAGCTGAAAGATGCTAAAACACTTTTGGGGGTTTTTACTTTTTTAAGAAATGATCATCATGAAGTTGTGACTGTAGCTGCTTTGTGTGTAGTCAGTGCTACACACCAGAGATGGGAACAATGCTGAGTAACCCTGAGGTTTCCCAGCAGCAGAACAGTGGACACACTGAGATGACCAGTTCTGTGTGTAGTTACCGCAAGAGCAGTCTCCACCCATGGAGATGAGTCAGGTGTGGATACAGTGTGTGTGTGTGTGTGTGTGTG